GACTAGTAATAGGGGGGCGGTAAATAGTAATGCCCTTTTCAAATTGGGCGTCACGCATAAAAATAATAATAAAAAATAAAAAATAAAAAAAACCTCAATTTCCAAATTTCGCCGTGGAGTTTAGTTGATCCACAACCAAATTCCTCTGCCCTCATTAAACCGCCTCACGTGTTGCCACATCTGCTAGGCTTCTCAATCAATTCGGTAGGACCTTGTTCTATTTTGTAAATATTTTTTGTCTCTCTGTTTTATGGTTCCATTCATGTTTTATTTTTTTTTTATTTTTTTTAGCGCGTGATTAAATTGGGCTAAAAGGAACTTATGTAGCTGCTTTGTTTTGTAAGATTTTATGAGTTTTAGACCATAGATTTTATGAGTTATTATGGCCATGTTTGTTTTTTGGCTTTTTGGCCAAACCGCTATTTTAGCGTTTTTGACCATGCCAAAAACGCTAAAATTATGTTAATATGTGTGTTTGGTTAAATAGCTTTTCCATTCAGCTTTTTGTACAAAAAAACTAAATTTGAAACGCCATACATAGCAGCGTTTGACACCAGCAGTTTTGTTTTAATAGATCAATTTCTTTTTTCTTCAATATGGTATTTTTCTTTTTCCGTTACAGTTGGTGAAATGGATGTTGAGCCTATTTTTTTTTTTTTCCTTTACATTACCAAGTTTAGTATTATATTGAAAATTTTGTTGTCATTTTCAAATATCAATTTGTATTTAAATATATTAACACTCATTTTATATTTTTAATTTTTATTATTTCTATTAGTATACTTTAATTATAGTAAGTATGAAAACTTAATTTAATTTAAGAATCAATTTAACTTTTGTTGATACAAAAAATAATTACATAAATAAGACTGGTATTTTTTGCTTTTTAAATATTTATATATTTAACAAAATAAGTAAGTTAATAATATTAAATATATTTTTACAAATCAATCAGCTATCTACCCAAACATCCTTTTTAGAACCGCTAACAGAATCAGCCGGTCAAACCAGCCACAACTAACAGCTGGTTAAAACAACTATTACAATTCGCTATCCGCTAAAGCTAACCGCTAATTACCAAACAAGGCCATTATTTTTTTTTTTTTTTGGTATTTGTTTATGTTTTGTTATATTGATATATGTAGTTTATTTATTTCTATTGAATCAAATGATGATCAGATTTGTTATATTGTAAATAAACATATTACTTATTAGTTATCCAAACCATGTTTTCTTTTTATTGGCATTTGATTGTATTTTTTTTATTAATCTAAATAAATTTATTCATATATTATTCTATCATTCTATGATGAGATTTGCTAGACGAGTTATGACGGGCAAACGCAGATTCGAGTCAGGAAGTTCGAAAAGGAAAAAGAAAGAAAAGCAAGAAATATTGACAAAATCTCTTGCCAGCTCAATGGATAGGTACGTAAAACCTACAACTCTTGTAGTAGAGGTTGAAGTGCTTGGTCCTACTGAAACAGTGCCGAAATTAATTGATACACCTGTAGTTGAAATTAGGGCTGGTATCGGTTCGGTAACCGAACCGATACCATTAAACCTATACCGAACCGAACACTATCGGTTTCACTATTTTGCAGACCGAAACCGAACCGATAATATTCGGTAACTGACTTTTCGGTTACCGATAAAACGGTTCGGTTTAAACCGATAAAAACCGAAAAAAATAACAGTAGTAGGCAACAACGAGAAAGTAACCGGCCAAAAAAAAAAAAAATCGAAAAAAGAAAATAACAGTAGCAGGCAGTATCAACAACCAAAAATGTAACAGAGGCCATAAATTAGCATGAATTGTAAAATGAATTGTAAAGTGAACTCATCAGCAGAGGCATAAATATATAATAATGAACATGAATTGTAACAGAGCTATTAACATTTAACATGGATTATGTGTAAAATGAATTCTATTAGTAGAGGCATTTAACATTTGACATTTAACACTTAACAAAGGCTATGAACATGAATTCGAGGTGAAGGAGGCGATATGAATTTTCTGAAGTGAAGGAGGCGATGCTGAATTTCTGACTCTGAAAGAGGCGATTGAAATTGAACGGGTTCAGGCCCAGCCCTAAGTTAAATAACTTAATATTATGATTATTATCCGTCCTTTTTAGTTTTTATTAGATTAATTATAATTAAGACCAAATTATTTTATTTAACTAATAATTTAATATATATTATATACCTATTCAAAATTCAAAAGCAGTATATATATATATATCTATATATATATATATATATATTTTAAATATATTGTTATCGGTTCGGTTCGGTAAAACCGAACCCTTATGGGTTCGGAACCGATACCGAACCGATAACATTTCGATAACCGAAAATCGGTTACCGATACACATGATTCAGTATGGTTCGGTTTATTTTCACATCGGTTCGGTTCGGTTCGGTTCGGTTTTCGGTTTTCGGTCAAAAAATACCAGCCCTAGTTGAGATTGGTCGAGATTTAACAGATCGAAATCGAATTGATACAGATTATAATGATGGGGGGGATGGGAAATTTGAAGAATAAAAAATAAGTTCGAGAATGCGAATGATAATGAGGATATGAATGATAACCATGATATGAATTGTGAAAATTTGGATCCAGGAAATTGGGAGGATAATATGCCTCAAAAAAGATTGATTTCTTAGTCGAGAAAGGGCCGATTAAAGTTTCTAATGTTGTCTATCCAATTAACGACAAAGGTAGAAGTTTCAATGATAAACTACACTCGATCTTTGTCAAATGGGGAAAAACTTGATAGATCATGGCTAGTATACTCCCACAAAAAGGATAAAGTATTTTGCTTTTGTTGTGTTATGTTCAAGAGGGATAAAATAATATCAAGTCCCTTAACAACAACAACAATTGGTTATGATGATTGGAAAAATATTTATCAGAGACTTAGTGAGCATGAAAGAAGCATTCCTCATATAAATTGTTTAGCAGATTGGACAAAGGCTGAAAAAAGATTGAAAAGGAAAGAAACAATTGACTCTGCAAATTAGAGGGTCATCGAGAGAGAGAAAAGATTTTGGAGAGATGTCTTGAAGAGAATTTTTTCCGTTGTCAAAACTCTTGCTAGTTGTAATTTGGCATTTCGTGAGCAAAACGAATAACTTGATGATCATAATAGTGGAATTTTTCTAAGCATTGTCAAAATGATTGCTGATTTTGATCCGATCATGAAAGAGCACCTAAGACGTATTAGAAAAAAAAGAGACTAAACGTGCCCATTATCTTGGCCATAATATTCAAAATGAATTGATACTTTTGTTGGCTGGTGAGATAAAGAAAAAGATTCTTGAGATTGTTAAAGGTGCAAAATACTTTTCTGTAATTTTTGATTGTACTCCAGATGTAAGCCATGAGGAGCAAATGTCTTTCATATTGAGATGTGTTGATGTTTCAAAGACTCCAATTACAATTGAGGAGCTTTTTATTCAGTTTCTAAATGTTGTTGAAACAACAAGAGATGCCCTCTTTAATGAGCTTGAATCTATTTTGAGTATATTGAAATTAGATTTAAGTGACTTGAGGGGGCAAGACTATGATAATGTTTCAAACATGAAAGGGCAATACAAAGGAGTAAGTAGTAGAGTGCTAAATGAGTATCCTCGAGCATTTTACACTCCATGTGGTTGTCATTCTCTTAATCTAACCCTTTGTGATATGGTAATGAGCTCGGTTCAGGCAAAGTCATTTTTTGGAGTGATACAACGAATTTATAAGTTGTTCTCTACTTCAACAAAGAGGTGGGATGATTTGAAATCCTTTGTAAAAGGTCGTAAAGGAAGAAGGCTTACTTTAAAGTCATGGTCGGATACACGCTGGAAGAGTCGTGTTGATAGCGTCAAGGCTGTAAGATTCCAAGCACCTCAGATTAGAGATGCATTACTGCATCTAGTGGAAAACAGAGGTGATGCAACAACGGCTAGTGATGCTAGATCATTGGCGGACTATGAACTTCAAAGTTTTGATTTTCTTGTGGGGATAATAATCTGGTTTGAAATATTGCAAAAAGTGAATTCAGTTAGCAAACTTTTCCAAAGAAATGATATGGTCATTGGTGAGAGTATAAGCCTTTTACAAGGTTTGATTGTTTTTTTGGAGGAATACAGAAACTGCGGTTTTGAAGCTGCAAAAGTTGAAGCTCAAAAGATTGCATCGGAGATGGATGTGGAACCCGCCTTTTGTGAAATTCAGATTCGTCGCAAAAGTAAGCTTTTTGATGAAAATGCTCGAGATGAACCAGTTCAAGGGGCCGAAGAATATTTCCGACTAAATTATTTTCTTCAAATTGTTGATAATGCACTCTCTTCTCTTCAACTAAGGTTTGTGCAGTTTCAAAAGTATGAAGAGATTTTTGGATTTCTATTCAACTTGGCCAAGTTGAAAAACATGGATGATGAAAGTTTGAAGCATTCATGTGTTGAACTTGAGAACTTTTTGAGACATGGAGATAATTTTGATATTGATGCACTTGAACTATTTTCGGAGTTGCAATTACTGAGAAAAGCATTACCGGATGGATTATCTAAACCAGTTGAAGTCTTGGAGTATATAAAAAATTTGTATCATGGTTTTCCTAATGCCTGGGTAGCTTACAGGATATTGTTGACCATTCCGGTCACTGTTGCATCTGCTGAAAGAAGTTTTTCCAAGCTGAAGTTGATAAAGAATTACCTTCGGTCAACTATGTCTCAGGATAGATTGAATGGTTTGACGATGTTATCCATTGAAAAAAAAAATAGTTGCGAAACTTGATTATGGTGACTTGATTGATGATTTTGCACAAAAGAAGACGAGGAGGTTGTAAGTTTTTGTATTCTAATTTACTAAATTTTCTAATATTCTTGGTTTTTTTCGTACTTATTATTGACAATGTTTATTATTATTTGTTTAATTAATAAAAAATTAAAATGTAAAACTACGATTACGAGCATCTCTTAAAAAAATTGTCTGGGGCCTCCAAATTTTTGGAGACGGCCCTGGCAAACGTCCAACATGGAACTAAGCGTGGAAGTCAAATAAATGTCACAACAGGAAGCTTAAGTCCCTATGGAACGTCTGATAGTTAAGCTTAGGACAACAACAATCTTCTTTAAAGAAAGCTTAAGGTATCCAGAAACGTCCAACGTGAATGTTTCCTCACTAATTTTCCACATATCACCCCACTACTTTCCCAAATATCTTACAATAATCAACATAAAATCAATCCATGCAACAAATTTTAAAATGATATAGAATTGTTATTTTATAATATACATTTATTTTTAATATAATTTTAATAATAACATCGTAATCATATTTAATAATGACAAAATATTTTTTTAATAGAATCATATTTTAATAGAATCGTAATTTTTTATTAGTTTACAAACAATTCTCATAGTTGTGAATTGATCTCACTTAGACTATTATTCCAATAGAAATGACCTCATTTTTTAGTGAATCAAAGTAGATGTGCATATTTTTTAGTGAATCTGTAACACCCCGCTATTTCATGAAAATCAGAGCGCGCTTTTTCGCAAATTTCTAAATAAAATAAATAAAATATTTCTTTTGCGAAATCTAATTCGGAGTGTTACCGTAAAATCTGTCTTATTCTGAAAACCATCAATTTTTGAGTTTCGAAATAAAATGGTTTTATAATATATTAACCGACTAACGTCGGGTCAAAAGCTGGTTTAGAGTACTGAAAACAGTAGCAGAGTCATAGTGAAGCCAAACATAATATACACATATAAACAAATGTCCTGAACCGGTCGCCCGCTCACTCCTCGGCTCCGACTTTGTGACCTGAAAAATATGAATAATGTGGGGGCGTGAGAACTAATACACTGTGCTCCGCAGAAACTCATACTAAAGTAAACAGTGAATATAATAACAATATCATGATCCTGGTATATATAACTGAACTGAAACTGAAACTGAAATCTGATACCGGTACTGAATAATCAGATACTGATCTCGTGATATACATCACCTGACTGATAACTGAACATCTGCAAGCATAAGCCGGACACCATGTGCACACTCTAGTGGGCAGATTAAGGCCACTAGAACCCAGAATGGACCGGCGACCATTCTGAGCGGATACTGATAATACATACCTCAAACATGGTAGCGTAATTATAATCAATGTAATGTTGGGTTCGATATACCGTAGAAACAGAGTTTACAGCGGAATTTAAAATTTTATAAGTATTTATCTTATAAATACTTATTCCGTACATAAGTGTAACGATATAACGTATAAGCATCATTTAAAATCTAGTAACTTTTACTAATTTTGATTTGATATGTA